ATATTTACATATAAGACAAGGATTAAACTGTAAAAATGTTGTAACATCTCATGCTCTCAGAAAAAGCGCAAATTAAACCGTTTGCAGCACAAAAAAATAATGTTTACAACACAAAAATTACATCTTAATCCCTGATACATTGCACTTTTCTGTTAATTAATGCCTAATTGTTATGATTTGAGATGTAATCACTGCCAATGGTTGTGCAAGTTAACACAAAGGGTGAGGCAGACAATTCTGCAAGTTATTTTGAAACTTTAAAATTATTTGATTAAATCAACTTCAAATTAGAAAACTTGATACATTTTTATGCGCAACTGGACAAAAATAAACAAAAACAGCAGGTCAAAGTCGTCAAGAGATTTAAAAAAGAAAATTTGGGGAATTGCTTGCTCCGTGTTTAAAGGGTATAAACCGTGTAAAAAGCAATATGCACGGAACTTAAGCAACTCACTAAAAAAAAAAAACCATTGAAGTTTTGTAACAAGTTTTAAAACAATCAACATTTTTAACAATACTTCATAAAATTGACATTTTTACACATCATTTTTACGCAACATTTTTACACAACATTTTTACACAACATTTTTACACAACATAGCATACCTTATCTGTATTGGTTAGTTTATGGAATCCAATAAAAATGAATCATTTTAATGCAGCTAAAAATATGCCATTAACAGAGATAAGTCTCTGCTTTGAAAGGCAACTCGCCATGCTCGGATTAAAAGCATAGAATGTCTTTTAAAAATTAGTTATAAATTGGCGGTGAAAAAGCGGGCTCAATGGCATCATCTGAAAAGAAAATTATTCAAGAACGAAAATAGAAAATTTAAATAAAATTTCACAATGAAGTTGAGCTGGAAATCGATATGCCAATGTCTGGTAGCTCTGAGTCATCAAACAATGGCTTTTCACCATTTAGAGAATACTTCTACAAAACAACTGAGAGGTATATTAACTTAAATTCTTGATTTTTAAATTCATATACAAGGTTTGGAAAGTTGTAAAGAAAATGGCTTTGTCTATTGGCATGCTCAGTGAAGAGGCACAAAAAACTCAAATTAAAGACTTTAAAAAGTTTCGTAAGCCATTTTTTAGAAAATGCTCGCAAAACAAATGAAGTCGACTAATATATTCTTCTGACCCTTTGGTTGGTAGTTTGAAGAAATCTTAGCGTTCTTAAAAAAAAGTTTTTAAATGGTGTTCTTGATTTACTCGAAGATGTTCCAAATTTATACTAATTGTAAATTTCAATTGCATAGTTTCCAAAAAAAGTTAAACAACTGGTTTCTAAGAGCACAGTACTGCAACGCGTAAAATTAGTATTTTTTTGTTTGTTTGTGTCATCATTCAAATGCATAAAATAGCATTTTAGCATTAATACCAGTTTAGTTTATAACTTTACCGTTTTAAGGAAGTTTCTTAATTTAGTTAACTATGCAAAATGCACTTTTGTTATGGAATATAGGTATCCATAGCAACAAAATTAACAATTTAATAGTATTTTTAGATTCGTTCCCAGCCAGCCCAAACACGTGTTTATAGAATCTAAAATGTTAACACCTTTAGACATCTAAATTCAGATATAAGACATATAATTGTATTTATCTTTGAGACGGCGAATAATAGCAGTCTCAAGTTGTCTAAAAGATAGCTACTTATAGATGTTTTAAATTTATCTGAATTAAGACGTCTAAGAGTGTTAACATTTTATATGCGAAAAAAACGTCTAAAAGACGTGTTTGTGCCGGCTGGGTTGTATATCATACAAACCAGGTAATTATGGGGAAAATCTGATAAATATTTAATCTGATAAGCTTTTGTCTAGCTAATAATTTGGCTCACAGTGGGTTGTTGCAAAACTCCTCGTTCAAAAAAAATTCATTCCAAGCTTCTTACACTTTTATTTGTCAGATATTGCGTTACCTATGGTAGAGTAGAAGTCCTCCGGAAGAACCACATCCTGAACAGCAAGAGCGGTAGATAAAGATCGTATCTTTAAGATAGATAAAGATCGTATCTACCGCTCTTGCTATTCAGGAAGTGGTTCTTTAATAGTATTTATACTTCCGGCGAGCATCCGATAAATTTCTGGATAAAAAAATTGACATTTTTGATTCATTTCGGTTTCATTTTTTTCACTAATGACTTGTTGACAAATAAATTTTTCGCCAATATTGTATTAATATCTGTATTATAGTCTGTGTTACCTGTATTACTAAATACAAGTATGCACTTCAATATCATGGCTTTGTGAATAAATTTTTATATCTATACAACTTGGGATTGAAGTATATATCTAATACAGTGCTACAGTGGAAAATCAATGCATTCGAAATTTCAGCACTTTGAGGTATCATAAAATATATGCTATATATTTTAATTTTAATTTTTTTAAATATTATATTTATTGTTAATTTATATATTTTTTAATTCATTAAGTCATGTTTGTCAGAGTTGTTGTTATATTGTCTAAACATATTATTGTTACTAATATTGCTATTATTATTATTATTATTATTATTATTATTATTATTATTATTATTATTATTATTATTGTTATATTAATATTTTAGTTTAATATGTTAGTACCAGAAGTTAAATGTAAATAAATACAAAAAAAAAAAAAAAAAAAAAAAAAAAAAAAAAATTAACTAATTGGTGGTAACAATAATGTTATCAAATAACCTATTGACTTTATGGAAGATAATGGAATGTTCTTTGGTTAAAAACTTGTTTAATAAAGGTAGCTACAACTTTATAGCTTTTGCACAGTGTTTTAGATTGTAGAATTATATCCTGTTTTAAGTCTATTATTGATGTGTTTGATTATTTTTTGATTTTTTAGATTCTATTTTACACTTTTGAATACATATTACTTGATGTCATTAAATATTACAAAATAATAGAAACAATAAATTCAAGGATAAAAAAAAGCTTCTAGAACCTGGTTTGATCTTGTTCATGCTTTCTTATGTGTTCTTTACCATGTAAACAGACTATATAAATTTTTTAAACTTGAAACCTGTTATATAGTAGTACTTAGCTTTTAATGTCTGTTACCTGTTGATGGACTGTCCAGTCCATCAATAACAACTATAGGAAGTTTTTAGGTAATAATTTCTTTGATAAGAAGAAATAAATTCTTTAAAGACAGCTTTATAAAGAAATAATATAGGCCACTGCTTATAAGATAATAATACAATAATTGATGGAAAATTTTAATCAGTCACATTAAAATATTTAATGAAATCTTCAAAAATAAGTATTTTTCAATTGGATTTTTTGCACTTAAATATGAAATTCTTTATCAGTAGTCTTAGATAAGTTGATGTACTGGGTGTTATAAAGTCCAAATAAAATTTGATAATGAAAAGCAGGATTAAATCTTTTATAGATTTCAAAACAGTTCTGAATAAAGGATTGGCTTATATTTATAGATGGTAAAGTAGAAGTAAGAAAACTTGTAAAGAGTACCTTACATTTTGTATTATTGGGCTTAAGTTAAGGAAAGAAAATGCTCTAGATTGTTTATATTAGAGAAAAAGCATAAATAAAGAAAGCCTGATGATGATGATGATGATGATGATGATGATGATGATGATGATGATGATGATGATAATGATGATCATGATCATGATCATGGTCATAATGTGTTTATGTATGTATATATATATATACAAAATATAACATGAATTTTGAATAAAAATATATAGACTTATGATGTATAAATGTTTATGCAGCTCTGGTCACAAACCCGGCCTGGACCTATGGCATTATTTTCTCAAACTTGGCTTGGTCAAATTTCAACCCCGGTTGCTTCCTACTTCAAAAGCTTTATATACACATAACAAAATTTATGTATCATGTATAATTTGTGTAAAAATGCTTGACAAAATTGGTTATTAATTTGCTAAACAGAATGATTTAATGAAATAAGAAAGGTGCATAGAGAGTTCATAAACCTTAGAAAGAATATGATAAAAAAGCATATCTTCCTCAATTTAAATGAGAAATAAGAAAAAAATACCACATAGTATTTACAACCAATAAGTTTAGTTATTATAACTTTTATTACTTTTACCTATTATGCCAATTATATGTATTAAATTTATTTTTACTGTAATAAAAGTTCTGAGATACTATGTACAGAGACAATTTTACAGGGATATGTGTGTGTGTGTGTGTGCGTGGGGAGGGGGAGTTATTACACTACCCCAAAGAAAGTGATTTTTAAGTTATAGTCGGTTTTTTATTGTCTAGTTGGGTATTTGATATAATTCAGTCTGGTAAATTTAAATTTTGAGAAGCTTTTTTTTTTTTTTTAGGAAGTCAGTCAGCACTTTTTAAGGATTCAACCCCTCCCTTATTTTATTCATAAAATCACATCTGATTATCTAGTCTTATATATGCAGCCCTTGCAATTTGGGTCAGCATTCAGCAATATTATTATAGTGAAACTTTTGTGTTAAAAATTTTGTGCAGATCAAAAATAGTTTAAGGTCAGCAATGAATTGCTAGCCTTATTTTTCAGAGAAAATATATAATGATATCAGAGAAAATATATGATGATATCAAAGAAAATGTATGATGTAAATTAAATATATAGAGATAAATATATATGAAGAAACAAATTAAATATATGATAATAAATGTATATGGAGAAACATAATCAATATTCTTAAAAAAAAATTGGAATAAAATTTTAAACCTTAAAATTTTAGATTTCATTTCAAGCTTTTTATTTTATTTAATGAGAAGCTTCAAAAGAAATTTAGTCATGTATATAGTAGTACCTGCATTATATATGTTTTTATACAGAAAAAGAAAACTCATAATACCTATATAAAAAAGATATATAAGAAAAAACAAATATGTATGGAAAAAAAAATTAAATATATGGAAATGAATATTGCATATGTGTAATTGAGGGGAAACAAGTTTAATATTCATAAAATTAAATAGATATAAATATCTAAAACTTTATATTTTTCAAGGTAAACCTTCAAAAGAAAGTTGCAGTGATGCAATTGTTGATGTTGGTTTTATTCTTGACTCTTCTGGTAGTTTGCGTAGAGATTATAAGAATGTAAAGGAATTTTTAAAGACAATAGCATCCTTTTTTGACATTAAAATTAATGGCTCTCAGGCAGGAGTCATTACATTTAGTCATCGAAGTGAACACAGTATTAAACTTAATGACTTTTCAGATGTAGATTCTTTTGAAAAAGCTGTTGATAAAATTCCATTGATGGGTTCTACAACAAGAATTGACAAAGCTCTACGCCACTCAAAAAATGTAATGTTTACAAATCAAAATGGTGGGCGATTAGAAGCAACCAAGTTGCTCATTTTATTAACTGATGGGTCACAAACATTTAGTGCAAAACAGGAAGACCCTTCTATTATAGCCGATGAAATACGCAATGATGGTGTTTTGATAATAGCTATTGGAATCGGGGAAGGTATCAATAAAACTGAACTGAATCGCATAGCTGGTAAAGATGAAAATACCTACAATGCGGATACGTTTGAAGAGTTAAAAAAGATTGATTTTTTAAAAAGAATTAAAAAATTTATATGTGGATTAGGTATATTATTTATTTTATAATACTTAACAATTGTTACTTTGGATCAATGTTATTTAATTGTCTGGATTAATTACAATTAGTTATATATATAAACAAAAATAAATTTGTTTACATTTCAATTACTTTTATACTTAAACATATTAAATATTTTTAGGTGTGTTTGTGAAAAAATTATACTTAACAACATTAGGCTATGTTGAACCTTTCCAAGCAATAACATTTTTTAATTATAGAAGGTAATCACACACACACACACACACACACACACACACACACACACACACACACACACACACACACACACACACACACACACACACACACACACACACACACACACAAACACACACAAACACACACAAACACACACACATATATATATATTAGGGTCATTCCATATGAAATCATCCAGACCATGACACCCTTACATCTCAGAATTTGTTCATTTTTACCTCACTTGCAGTCCATATTAAAAAAATAATAACTGGGAAAATTTTAGTTAAAAGTACACATGGTTTCATGAGATATTGTCAGTTAAAATAATGCTGACTCAACATTTTAGTGATTATCTGAAGCAACTGCAAAGCAACTTTGATATATAGTATCGTCATAATGGCTTAGGAAAATTTCCTAAAATTTAATACCCCATTAGATTTTTACTTGCGGAATCCAAAAAGAGCACCCTCAAGACTCAATTATCTCAGGAAATGCCTCGTTTATCCAATTTTGTTCAAAATTATTGACTTGTAAGTTTATGATTTTCGGAGGTAAAATGGAGAATGTGGCCCAAAATCCTCAATAAAAAGTTTAATTGTATATCATTATTTTAAGTCTACTGAAAAAAATCAGATTCATCAATTGTCTCTAATACTTGATCAAAATTTGTGTTTAAAAATTTGTGTCTTTTTAGAAAAATTTAAATTTTGTAATGAAAGCAATTGAAATGTTTTTTAAAACATTTATTTGAATAAAACATCAAATAGTGTTATTTATTGACTTGTTTAGGATGTTTATGGTCATAGGCCAAGGGAGGGCCAAGGGGGTCTCTGAACAACTCTACTCCCTCCCCTCCCTAAATCTCCCTGGATTTTTATTTTTTTTTTATTTTTTTTTATGCATTAAATGATATAATAATAAACAATTATTAAAATTCAATTTAAAAACATAGTTTTGTTTTTTAGTTTGAGAAACAATTTTTTTTTTTTATTATTTACCTCTTATTTCAAAATAAGCACTTCAAACTAAGATCTTTTCACGATTTTAAAAATCATAAATTTTAAAACCAAAAATATTGAAATGTTTTTAATATTTTAACAATAATAAAACATTTAAGCAATCAATATCTTTATAGTATTATTTAGTTGATTAATACTAATATAATCATTAACATAATAAGGTGGACAGTGGGATTTATTTAAACCCCCTCCTTCTTCAATTCAAGGATTTGAAAAAATTTTGTTGCTTTCACATTTGGGACAAAGGGATTAAATTTTAGGGCTTTTTTTGTTCCCAGCATCCAATCATTGCAACTTTTAAAAAAACATTATTTGACATACAAATGCTTATTTTTGCCTAATGTTATCTATTTCAAATACCAAAAATGCTGGGTCCGTCACTGCCACAGATCTCTTGTGTCTCAAACAAATTTGCTTCAGAATTCAGCGTTTAAACGCTGCAAATGTGCAATAAATATTTATATACATATAAATTTTCAGCTAAAGACAAATATCTCAGTAAATATGAAAAAAAAAAAATTTTTGAATGTCCTTTTAAGGTTCAGAGCTTACAGTTAGATATTAGATCAAAATTCAATTTATTAGAACCATTCAATAGCGAGAAAAAGCCATAGCTAGCTACTTGAATCTATTCTTCTTTTTTTAATGGTTTTTTTACAAGAAATCTTTATTTGAAGTAGCTTCTGAAGCTTCTCCAAGCTTGAAAAAATTTTCTGTAAGTACAGCAAAATTGAGTTTTTTATTACCAAATATTTTTCTTAAAACAAGAAATACATTTTTTGTTTTAAGAAATAAATATCCTACCCTGCAATTCATTTTTAAAAACAAGAAATATATTTCTTTTTTTGAGAAATAAATTTCTTAAACTATGTCTAATAGATTTATGTTTTTGCTGTGAGTTCTGATGAGTTGTTAGTAACTTTAAAAGATTTAAAAAGTATTGAAATTTATTGTAACCAGAAAGTCTAAGGGAGTCTCATTCATAGACATTTTTTTAACTATGACTTAGAATATCAAAAATTAACCAGTAGTCTGGTGAAATATTCTACACCTAGTGGCTGGTCTTTATCAACAAAAACTGCTTTCAGATAGATTTCAGCTTTGATTTTATCCATTTTTTACACCTTTTCGGACCTCCCTTTGTTTTTGAATATAGAACTTTTTACCATTTTTATATTGAGATCTCGGTCAAAAGATGCTAACGCCAGCACCAAACACCTCTAAGGTTTTACCATGAGTTGAATTTCACCTCTACAGCCGGCTCAATATACAGTCTTTTGATCTTAAAAGTATAAATTAAAAATATTGCAATGTAGATAAAATAAGGTTTAAAAAGACATTGCTAAATACTAATTACATTTATTTTTGACAAGATAAAATTTAAGAGCTATTTCTATTGATTTCATTTTTATCATATTTTTAATGATTTTAAGAAAAGTCTGTCAAAAAAAATTAGGTTTAGAGTTATTTTCTTTGTATTTTGCATCTGATTTTAAACCATTTTGCAAACCATTGTTTTTAAACAATTTGTTACTTTATGACACAAATTATTCTTAAATATTAAGACTAAAATATCGAAACCTATGAAATTAAGTTTTATTTTAAGAATTGCTATGCAGAATGAGAAAAATTGCAGGTTAATAACCCTAATCCCTGGAGAGACAAATTTAGTTTTTGTAGTTTTAGGCAAAAATTTATAGTTATATAAATGACTATATTTAGTCATTTATATAACTATATAAATGTCACATTATAATCATTTGGCCATTCTTTTGATCTCTTTGAGTATTTTATTACTCAGAATAAAAACCTGCCTGATTTTAGAGAAATGCATATTGAATTTCATGAAATTCAAGGCGAGTGAAACAGCTCCATGTTTTTTAATTTTCACCTAATGGTCTGATTTTTTCCCGCAAGTTCACAATAATCTCTGTACTTCTCAAAAGTCTAAATGTAAATAATTTTAAAATTAGAAACTTTTTTCATTTTTGCAAAAAACTATTTTAAAGTGAAGCAGTTTTATCTTTACTTTATTATTTTTTAACCTTTTATGGTTTTATGATATAAATAGTTTATTTTCCAGCTTAACAGTTTTATTTAAGGCTGCGGCTGTATGAAGCTCTCTGACATGATGGCAGGAGGTTACCAAGAATAATAGTCGACAAGAAAACTTAGCTAATCTTGTATAAACTCCTTTTAAATAGCTAGGGCTTGAAGTGGATGAACTGTATGAAATAAAAAGCATCTAACAAATTTCTAATTGATGTCTATTGGGCTTCAACGCTATCGTGTTTAAAAACCACGTTTTTTTAGTTTCATAACGAATTAGTGCGTTTTTAAAATACCACCAGTTAACAAAAATAGTAGTAATAAAAATGCGCACAATTGGCACCTTCCATTACTTGTAACGACGTTGTTATATAGTCCTAGTTTTCTTACTTTTTTTCTCTCAATGTTTTCTTTCTTTCTACCACTACCATTTTCTCATAAAATCTTCTCTAACAAATGTTGTTTGATACAATGTTTTTTTAATCTCTGTCTAAGATTAAGCCACTATTTCTTTTATTCTTAGAGTCATACCACTCATCCATCTGATCTTCTTCTCTTTTGGCGAGTGCTACGCCATATAAATACTAAAGTTTATATAAATATGTAAGGATATTGTAAGCCAGAATTTAAATAAATTGCAAACATTTATGTTTATATCCATATATATATTATGCATGCATAAATGCGCATCTCACCTAACCTCCTGGATCAAGCAGGTTTGAAAGCTTTTATTCCTTCTCTTCAGTTTTATGTCAAGCATCATTTTACTCCACATTTTTCACTATCTTGAGCAGTTGCTTTATAATATAAAACCGTTATCATTTTTGAAATCTTTTTTACAAGAACATCTGTCTTAAGAGTAAGTGTCCTTTTATTATTAAAAGAAACCAATATAAAAAGATCCTGTCTCATGTTAAGCTCTGTTATTCTCTGTTTACTAAGTCTTTTATCTTATCTCAGATGTTAGATTCTAGAGGCTTTTTGAAAGTCTTCAACAGTGTAATTAACTAAAGTAAGTTTAACATTTAATCTCTAATTCATGGATCTAACCTTTTTCCACCTGCCCAAATTAAGGCAGAGTTATTTGGAAAATTTTTTTTCTCTAATTTGACTTTAAAATCTAATGATCATACTTTTCATGCCATTCCAGTTAAATAGATTAACTAATTGTTAAACATCGAAATAACTCTGGCTTCCGATGCTAAAGTTAATTCTCAGTTTAACTCTTTTATAGTTTGCGGTTCAGACAAGATTTTCATCATAGTCTTAAAAAAGAGTTTCCAGAACTTCCTTTGATTTTTGCTAAACTATTAATAAGTGCTAATTATAAAATAAAGTTACTCTCGAAGGCATTTCACTTTTCTTCATACTCAGATTTATACTCATGTCTCAACAAAAAGTTTTCACTTTTTGATTACTTAAAAAAAAACAGACAATTTTTAATCAGATCTCTCTTTTGTAGCAGTTTGGGACTTGCAGTGGCTTGTGGATTTTAAATCTGGACAACAAAACTTATTTTAATCTTCTCTATAGATTAAATATGTTAAAGCAAATAAAATGTTTTTTAATTTTAAAAAAAAAGAGAAGTATTTTTTTTTAATAGAGTTCTTTTCACAAATGTATTTAAAGTTTTTTATATTCAGTCAAATTTCAATATTCAGTCAATACAGTTCTTTTGATATTTTAAACATTTATTTATGAACATAAATTATGTAT